CACATATTTGATAGTACACGAAATGGTATCTTTTCTCCGAATATTTTATGTATTGATATACGTCGTTCTGCATCGTTAACTTTATGTATCTCTGATTAATGTCTTTAATTATATGTGTTCTATTTTATTCACTGACTCTTATTTCGCCGTTAGTTTATTTATTTATGTTATATATAAAGAGTCTTTATACCGTTTGTTAGGAATTAATGATTTTTTTGTTATCTGCATCAGTTTAATATTATTAGTAAGAAGTGGTTGACATTGAAAAAAAGAAGAGAGTGTACTCTTAATATCGACAAAGATGTATGTTTCACGAACTTGATGCTGCTTTCACCGACGCACGACACATGTACATTTTTTTAAAGATAATTCGATGTTAGTTGATCGACCAAAGGAACGAATGTTAGATCTATAGTGAGGAAAGATATCCTAAGGGATCCCTAAGAGGGAGTTGAACTCTCGGAGTTGAATCTTTGAACGCATTCTTTCCATTCGCTTCTCGTCGTCGTCGTCGTCGTCATCTCTCTCTCTCTCTCTCTCTCTCTCTCTCTCTCTCTCTCTCTCTCTCCCCCTCTCTTACTCTCTCTCTCCCTCTCTCTCTCTCTCTCCCTCTCCCTCCCTCCCTCCATCCCCCCTGCCTCTCCTCTCTCCTTCTTTCTATTCGTTCGCACTGGCTCACAATACAATCCCCTTGATAACCGTTTCAGGCAAAGGAGGCTTGGGCATGGGCGTAAGTTACGAAAACTCGATTTTGGACAATTATTTCATGTATAACGTGATGATATTGTTAATATATAAAAATACACACAACATATAGAAAGGCGAAAAAATAAATTCATCCGATAATTTGCACTATTCTGTATGAAGATTTCTCACTTGCGTATGTACATTGAAAAAAAATGTTTTTTATTATACTAACAAGATATATGATAAAATGCATTTTAGTGAAACTAAGCAGAATTTCTGATTATCACAGGGTTCGATATTTTAGTACGGTAGTAGGATTCGGTAGTAGGATTCGATATTTTATAACTAGAACTGGAACGTTTGTTAGACTAAATATCAAACGTTCCATTTTAATTATATTAACTATAAGAATTTATAAAATTTAGTATTTTCCAATTGAATTCTGAAATAATTTCTAGTTATATTAGGTGTACAAAAAAGTTCTGAGCTTTAGATTTGATACAACCGAAATAACAATTTAAATTTTATATATCTTCCCGCCCTTTTGGGGTTTTAAAACAGTAACATTTAACCTCCTGAAATGCGATACGGTTTGGCGTTTGATGCACATAACCTCAAAAATCAGTAGTGTTCACGATGGCAATTACAAAAGAGCATATTCGATTTTCCATCCACTTCGCGTTTCATCTGAAGAAAAATGCTGCTGAAGCCACTGAAATGATTTGTGCTGCATATGGAGAGAACGCTGTAAGTCATGCAACATGCAAAAGGTG